TCTTCTTATGTAATCCCATATTTCTCAGATATTTTATTCCTTCTTTTTAATTCTTTTTTCTCTCTTTTTGTCTGACTTGGTTGATTCAAACAACCAGTTTTTGAGCTCTGAGATTCTTTCCTCTGCTTGGTTTGTTCTGTTTTTAAGGCTTCTAACTGTATTATGAAATTTCTGTAGTGACTTTTTCAATTCCAGAAGTTCAGTTTGGTTCCTTCTTAAAATGTCTACGTTATCTTTCAACTATTGGATCATTTTATTGGCTTCCTTGGATTAGGTTTCAACTTTCTCCTTACTTTATTGAGCTTCCTTGTCATCCAGATTCTGAACTGTATGTCTGTCACTTCAACCATTTCAATCTGGTTAGGATCCATTGCTGGTGAGTCAGTGCAGTCTTTTGGAAGTAATAAGATGCTCTGACTTTTTTAATTGCCAGAGTTCTTCCACTCATTCTTACTCATTCAAGAGGGCTGGTGTTTCTTTATCTCTTTGAAGTTGTTGTCATTTGTATGGGGCTTTTTTGTTTTTATGTTCTTTATTTCCCTTGAGATCTTGACTGTGGTGTATGTTGAATATAGTTGCATGACTTTGCTTCTGTGTGCTTTCCGAATATCAAGGCTCTGTGCGGGTACTTAATTTGTGGCTAGATTTTTGCATTGTGTTTCATGGGTGATACGTGCTGAAAGAATTTTTGTTTGGTGGTGTATTTCAGGCTGCAGCTCAGTAGATGATGCTTAAGAGTAAGGGCTGACAGACAGACTCTTCCTCAGCTGTGCACTTCTTTTCTATTTCAGCTTGTTCTTGTTTGCTGCAGTGCTCTGGGGTGAGAGAGACAGGGAGTGAGAGATATATTTCCTTGCCAAGTCTATTCCTGGGCCTTGTGGGGCCCCCTCCGATCACTGTTGACACACCTACATTTTCTTAGGCCCAGAGGGGCCCTGACACGCTGTGCTACTCTCACTCTTAGGGGAAACCTGAGCCAAAGGATAGGGAGACTCGCAACTCCCTAGTGACCCACTGGTCCTCTGTGCTTTGTGATGTCCATCGGTGGTGTTTGTGTAGGAGGTCAAGGGCAGAGGACCCAGGGCACGGTGGAATTGTTTTGGCTATGCAGTTGGTGTAGTGCCCACAGCTTGGGTTTTTTTGTCCAGCAGATGGCTGTGGGGACTGCCCAGGTTGTGCTTCCTTGACTAGGTCTCCTGGTGGCTGCCCTATAGCTTACTCGATCCTCTGGGTTTGTCCCAAGCCTTCTGCACCCAGATGGCTGGGCTGTCAGGTGTTTCAGGCCATGGAGTTCCCTCAGGCAGAGGCTGTGGCTAGCAGAAAGGCCACATCCTTCCCATACTAGCCCTGTGGCAGGGAGGCACACCCAGCTCCTGTGCCAGAACACAAATCTGCATCTCACTCTTCACAGTGTTCTGAGATTGGGAGTTCCTCCCTTGATCAATCTCTGGTCACAGATCTCAGCTTGATATCCTTCAATTGTGTGTGTGCTTGAACCCTCGGGGGCTGGGATTGAGCCTGTGGTTTTTGTCCTTTAGCCCCTTGGGGTCAAGCACTGGCTGTGCTGGGGAGGCTGTAGTGCTCTCAGGCTGTTGGCAAAGCACTCAGGCTGGGCAGTGGAGGCTGTGTTGTATGCATGCCCTTATGGGACCAGCTAGGCTGGGTCCTTGGGAGGGTCCAGAGACAAGGGGGCATGCAGATCAGATTGGCCCCAGTCCTGTAGGAAAGGCAGCCCTGCTGTATCCCAACCCAGCAGTCAACAGGGGCTAGAGTGACTCAGAGCAAAGTGGAGAGCCTGGGGGCACGGGTACCTATGGTCACATTTTGCTGGAGTTGCCCCATGTGTAAAACCTGGGCTCCATGCAGGCTCAAGCTCTGTCGCTGCCTTCCCCCACCACTTTAAATGTTTATGGGGGTCATGGGATCTCTTGCAGCTAGGATCCCAGAGGTCCACGGCGGGGGTGTGATGCCCTGCAGTTCCTTCACTCACCTCTTCCTTAGGACCTGATCAGGATGAGGCATGGGTCTTGGCACTTGGTGAATCTGTGCAGGCTTCCCAGCTTCCACCCTATTCAGCGTCAGTGTCTGCGTTTCCCCTCTAGCAATCATCAGTGTTTTCCCTCAAAAGATCTGTTTAAAGTGTGATGGCTTTTTCAATATTTTGGCTTCTCTTGGTGGGAGAAGGGCTTCCTGGCTGCATCTAGTTGGCTGTCTTCCACACTTTTCTTAAAGTTGAGGTTTAGCTATGGAAATTTAGGCCATTCTAGATAAATTCAAATTCTAAACATGGTAAATATGATTGATAGTTCTGGTTGATTATAAGCAAACTTTACAACTATACTATAATTTGTGGTTGATGGTGGTTTTCTATGTGGAGTTTTTGTTTTTGTTTTTGTTTTTGTTTTGTTTTGTTTTGTTTTTTTGAGACAGAGTCTCACTCTTTTGCCCAGGCTGGAGTTCAGTGGCACAATCATAGTTCACTGAAGGCTTGAACTTCTGAGCTCAAGCAATCCTCCTGCCTCAGCCTCCAAGTAGCTGGAACTACAGGCCTATGCCACCACATGTGGACAATTTTTAGGTTTTTTTAGAGTCAGGGTCTCACTATGTTGCCCAGGCTGGTCTCAAGTTCCTGGCCTCAAGCAGTCCTCCCACCTCAGCCTCCCATCATGCTGGCATCACAGGTGTGAGTCATTGTGTATGTCTGTAGAAGATGGTTTTAATTTGTGTGGTGATAACTTATTTATCTTTATTTCTGGTATCTAGCTACAACACCGAGTTCTTAGAAAGCACTTAACAAATGATTGTTGTAATGAAACACCTTAATAGAAGTTATTTGTATGTCTTCATTAAATCAAATATGTTTATGTATACATTTTCAAGAAAAATAGAATATATTCACCTATATTCTACTTCTGCAAACCTTTGTGTTTTTACATATGATTGCTATTTGCATCAAAGTGACAATGTGAATGGAATATACTGAAACATGAAGACTTTGATTTTTTGGGAGGGAACATCATGATTCATGAGCAAACAAGTTTTATGAGCATAATGAAGAGGTTATGAACAAAGAGGGAAATTACTAGGAAAAGGAATGATGCATTTTGAATTTATGGGTGTAATGTGCTACTGCCTGTTTTATATCATTTTTAACATAATGAATCTTGGTGAATTCTATTGCATTGTGTAGCCAGATGATAGATAGCACATACATATCTGGTAGCTTTTGAAATTTTGGGCTGCAAAGTTTTGGAACAAAATTCCAGGAACTTAAATCATCTTCTGAAAAATGTGATTTCATCATTTATCATATTCCTTTGCAAGTAGTCTTATTTGGGTTCAGTGTTAGATAATCTTAGAATTGCATTTAAAATAATTAAATTGCTTAACACTAAATGAGCCTCTTGAATTGGGCACTTTAAGACAAAATATTATTTCTTGAATTCCCGACCTCAGGCAATCTGCCTGCCTCGGCCTCCCAAAGTGCTGGGATTACAGGCATGAGGCACTGCACCCGGTCTTGAAAAAAAATTCTTTCTGATGTTTGTTCCATGCTACTTATACTGAGAAACTTCACAGGTGATATGGATAGAAGCATCCAGTTTCTCCTTTTCTTGCCTTTGTCTTGCATTGCTGGCTATTCAAAAGCAGGCCTGCTTTTTCTGAAACTAACCTGTTCAAAAATGACAACTCAAATTTCTTATTTGGCTAATTGGTACTTTTTCTTCACATTGGGCTTTTCTCACCCAACAGCTGAAGAAGATCAGATTGTCTCCATCTTTCCTGCCTTCACTCTGTGATTCTGCTCTACAACGTAAAAGTGAAATATGAAGATTGTCTGTTTCTTTCTTATCTTTCATGACAAAAATGGTTAGATAAGAATGATGATTTCTTCATCTCTTTAACAAGCTTTACTGTTTTTACCTATATGGGAATAGGTTGTTATTCTTTAGTGTGGGTACATTTTGAAATTTGTGGGAAAATGTTTACCTGGCTTTATAAAACAAATACACAAATTAGAGGGAGAACTATGGGATTCTCCTACTGGTCTTTTTTTTCTTTGTGAATGATGTTTTTGTGGGTGACATCTAGCCGGTGTTTAATAAATATGTATTGAGTGATGACAATGGAGGAGAGTAGATTTCCTTTGTCTATGCCTAGCACGTTCATTAGTACTAAGCATACACATGTGAAAATCTATATACCTTCTCATACATAATCATTAAATATTTTAAAGAAAAAAAATCTTGGCCAGAAAAAAAATCTGTAAAAATTTCTAACGTATGTTTCTGTGTCAGTAGCTTTGCATTTATTGCTAAAAATAACTCATGCAGGCACTCCCTTTCTTGTGGTTATTGATGTAATATGATGTTGCACATCTGAACCTACTTGCACTCAATGGATTATGCACTTAATTGATAAATGGGAATTTTCTAGTGTATCCAAATGGTTCAAGTTAGAGAAAGGGGCCTGATATTCAACAACTGGGTAGGTAGGTATGTTATTTACTGCTCAGTCATATAATTCTACTTGGCTTTGAGCCCATGCTGGTTTGAATAGGAATATTTGTTTTACATTTTAACAAAATATGAAAGAATACTGAATGACTCATGGAAGGAGGTAAAAGGATTACATATTACCATCTGGTGATTTCTTTTCTGAAAAATGGGCATTCAGATGTATAAAAATGTGCTGAAGTGTCTGTCATATGGGAGTGTTTGCTTCAGTGTCTAAATTCATGCCACTCAGGAAGGCAGAACATCTCAACCCCATTTCCCTCTATCAAATGGTGACTCACAGTCTTTGTTCAGGGTGTAATCTTGAAATAGGAAGAAAATAACTAGGATTTAAAGTGAAATAATTAAAAGTTTTCAGGTAAAATAAATTTAACAAATTGGGTAGACATGAAAATAGCTATACAGTACTATATTCTCAGTCTTGTTAAGAGTTTTAAACATGAATGGGATTAAATAATATACATGTATAACATATATTTCCAGTCATTCATTGGATTTGGAAGATGATACTCGACTTAATATGTTTGATGATGGCACACTCATGATCCAAAACACCAGAGAGTCAGACCAAGGTGTCTATCAGTGCATGGCCAGAAATTCCGCTGGGGAAGCCAAGACACAGAGTGCCATGCTCAGATACTCCAGTCGTCCAGGTAAAACTATTATTTTCTGGTTCTATCAGTTATTTGCACTGGAAAATGACATAATATTGCTGCTTTAGAGTATATAATGCTTCAAAGTGAAGCTATTTCCATTGGCTGTTGGTTTTCTAATTTCGTTTTAGAGAAACTTGAATTTTTCCTCTTGAAGTTTATTTTAATTTCCTGCCTTAGTTCCTTTCTGGTACAGCATATTGTGGTTCCAAGACTTTTCTATTCCCCTTTTGATTCCCCATCCGGCTATCCAGCATCCTTATGCAGAGTGAACCAGTGTTACCTAGGCAGGAATATTACTCTTTTCAGAAATTCATTCATTCATTCATTCATTCATCATGAATTCATCCAGCACATATTTATTGAATGCCCACTGAGCTAGCTGTTGAAGATTGCATGGTTATCAACCACGTTCCTTATTTAACCTTCCAGGGGCTTTGCTTTGTCATAATTTCAGTGGCTTATATAAACCAGACGTAATGACTGCAACAAATTTTCATTAATAGCATGTTGACATGATGGAAATACATTGTCTCTCACCTTACTGAGGCTATCATATATTAGATGATAGTCATAATTCAAGAAATAAGCTTTATGATGTGTAAGGAGAGGGAAGAGAAGCATAAAGGACAGTTGTGTGCTGGTAAATGTTAGTAAATTGACTCTGAGGAGCAGGGAGCCCTGACTTGCAGCATTTGTCAGTATCTGTTGTATAAATAATCTCACCATGGCTAGTTCCTAGTTACCAAAATGATATCACTTCATGTGGAGTTTGGAAGAGATGCACAGAAGTTCATCATAATATAGCATTTCTAGCATGCAGACACAGTGGGCATAATAACCTTGAGACCGAAGATAATAATAAAATGTAAAAAATAGGGATGAATTTGTTAGTTTTGATGTTAATAAAATTTATTTGATTGTAAGTTTATGTAATTAAAATTTTAAGAATGACTTTGTGTAGCAATCAGTTTGCAGAATACTGAAAATTTGACAACTGGCCCTCCAGAGCCAGCTCCAGCCCATCCCAGTGGAGGGGAGCACTTAGAGCAGCAGCCTTGGAGGATTGCATTCATTCAAGTCTTCCCAAGAGCAGTGACCTTTAAGTTGAAAGAAACAACAAGTGGGAGAGAGCCAGAGAAGTAGGGTTGAAGCATCATTTTAGGAGAAAAGACAGCATAGGGAAGACAGAGCAAGGCACATTCAAGAGATGATCGTGGAGCATAGAGAGGAGAGGCTGGGAATGACACGAGATTTGGTGAGGAGTGTAAAGTGGTGTCAGGTCACTCAGACTACTCATGACGCTACACTGAGATGATCAAAATTAGATTTTTCTTTTAGAAAAATGATGCTGGCGGCAGTTCAGAGAACAAACAGGAGGGCATGGTAAGATAGGCATATCAGGATGAAGAAGTCAGCAGTGGCAATTGCCACAGGGCGGAGCTGGTGGCGGCATGGATAGGGCAGTGGCAAAGTGAATGGAGGAAACTGCAGGAATCAAGAGGTTTTCCAGGAAAAAAAGTCACTTGAGTTACCAATTGATTGAATATGATACTTCCTCACATAGTTCCCAAGTAATTTCTTTAAAAAATGTTTGTAGAGACAAAGTCTCACTCTGTCACCCAGGCTGGAGTGCAGTGGTATGATCACAGCTCACTGCAGACTCAAACTCCTGTCCTTAAGCGATCCTCCTGCTTAGGCCTGCCAAAGTGCTGGGATTACACCAAGTAATTTCTAATTGAAACACCACTGTCTCCTTCCAAAGCCTCCTTCCCTTCTGCCCCTAGGTCAAGTCTGATCTCGCACTCATGAGCATTTGTAAAAAATTATTAATATTATACTTTAAGTTCAAGGGTACATGTGCACAACGTGCAGGTTTGTTACATATGTATGCATGTGCCATGTTGGTGTACTGCACCCATTAACTCGTCATTTACATTAGGTATATCTCCTAATGCTATCCATCCCCACACCCCCCTCCCCACAATAGGACCCGGTGTGTGATGTTCCCCCTCCTGTGTCCAAGTGATCTCATTGCTCAATTCCCACCTATGAGTGAGAACATGTGGTGTTTGGTTTTCTGTTCTTGCGGGCTGAAACTGGATTCCTTCCTTACTCCTTAATACCGAAAATTAATTCAAGATGGCATAGAGACTTTAAAGAAGACTAAAACCATAAAAAACACTAAAAGAAAACGTAGGTAATACCATTCGAGGAACACTAGACATGGGCAAGATTTCATGGTCTAGAAACACCAAAAGCAATGGCAACAAATGCCAAAAATTGGGACAAATGGATCTAATTAAACCTAAAGAGCCTCTCTGCAAAGCAAAAAAACTACCATCAAGAGGGAACAGGCAACCTACAGAAATGGAAGAAAATACTTTGCATCTATTCAATTGACACAAAGGGGCAAACCAACCCACAAAAACTCCAACAAATTTACAAGAATAAAACACAACCCTCATCAAAAAGTGGGCACGGATAGAACAGCACTCCAAAGAAGACATTTAATAACAGACCAACACACACATGAAAAATGCTCACCATTACTTGCCATCACAAAATGCAATCAAAACCCACACAATGAGATACTCCATCTCACACTCACGTTAGAATGGCGATCCATGTTAAAAAATTTCAGAAACAACAGGTGCTGGAGAGGATGGGAATAGGAACACTGTTTTACACTGGTTGGTGGAACGCAAACTAGTTAAACCATTGGTGGAAACAGTGTGGCGTTGCTCAAGCATTCAAACTCAGAAACTACCATTTGACCCAGCCATCCCATTACAGGTAGGTATACCTCAAAAGGATTTATAAATCCATTGCTGCATAAGGACACATGCACATGTATGTATTGTGGCACTATTCACAATATCAAAACTTGGAATCAACCCAAATGTCCCATCAGTACAGACTGGATTTAAGAAAATGTGGCACATATACACCATGGAATACTATGCAGCCATAAAAAAGCGATGCGTTCGTGTCCTTTGTAGGACATGGGTGCAGCTGGAAACCATCATTCCAGGCAAACCTATC